TGTATATATATATATATGAATGAATGAATGAATGAATGTTTCTGTTCAGTGCCCTGAGACGACTTCTGTTGTGAATTGGCGCTTTATAAATAAACTGACTGAAATCTGCATCTAAAAACACTCCAGCAGGCGGCGTCATCTTACCAAACATGTTGTGTTTGGATTTTATAAAACTGTTGATAATAAATAAAATGTTCATTTTGATCTGTGATCTTAAATAACTGGAGTTAAAGGCAGCTCAGAGCTTCAAGCTGATTTAATGTTTTATATGTTTGAGAAAGGTGTAGAGGCAGGGCAGCCCCTGGGACCCCAAAGTCCCAGGTTCATTCCCCAGTCCTTGCACATCTCGTGGTGTCTCTGAGCAGGACACTTTATCCCCAGTTGTTCCCCGGGCACTTTCTGTAGCTGCCCACTGCTCCACCTGAGTGTATCCCAGGTGTGATGGGTTAAAAGCAGAGAGCCAATTTCGTCTTTGTATGGGAACATACAATGATGACAACACATCATCATCATCATCATCATCATCATCATCATCATCATCATTATTAATAAAAGGTCAGATGCAGAGACCAGTTTACGTCAGCAGGTGGTGCCTCTTTATTCACATTTAATTCAAACTTCAACTTAACTGGAAGAAGACAGAACTCCCTCTGGGTCCAGTGTTTGCATCCGTCAGGACTTCAGAACCTTGGAGTTCTGTTCCTGACTGAAGGAAGGACAGAAACGGAACTGGACTGATGGATCAGGAAGATACTGCTTTAAACAATTCTCCTAATCAGTTCGAACCGTTACACATGCAAGAGCCATAAAAGGCAGTAATTTCCTGTTTCAGTAGTTTAATTCCTGGAAACATGTTGAAGAACTGGAAGCCTCCGTGTGAACATCCAGATCAGAAGTTTTCATTTCAGCTCAGACTTTTGGAGATGGGACATTTTTCATTCATTCAACCTTTATTTCTACAAGTTAATCCCACTGAGCCTCAAGGACTCATTTACAAGAGATCATTTTAACAAAGAGGGATGGCAACAGTAGACAATCATAAAAGGAAGCATAGAAATTGAGAATAACAAGTGGAAAAAAACGGTATAAAAAACTAGAGCTGCACCGATCCAATACCAGTATGGGTACCGATAATTTAAATTAATAAAAAACTTCTGGATCGAGTATCGTGACAATGTGACCGAGTTACGAGTCACCAGTTAACCAGTGAATACTGGGTGCAGTGGTGGGTACGGTAGTTACAGCCAGTTATGAATCTTAGTGCGCCATGATAGACAGCAATACCCTCGTCTGTGCATCCGTGCACTTGGTGAGCATGATACTTTGAAAAGTTAACAACTGTTCACTTCCATTTTGATGTGTGGCCACATCGAGGCGTAAGAACGCTCACTATCAACAACTGGGTCGCTGCGTCAAAATCCAAAATGGCCACCACCATTTTTATATGTAAACAGGCCGCCCGATCATTTCAGGAAACTGCTTTCTAGTTTTTATGTTGCTGAAAGTATAGTTTCTTCAAACGGTCGGGGTGGCCAAAGCTTTATCTATGGGGGCCACCATTGCACCCCCAGGCTCCTCCACTGACCCTGGTGGTGATAAAATGTCTCCCTCCAGGATTCGTCTCTCTGCTCTGCCTCGGACAAGAAAAAACCTCCCTCCCCCCCTCTGTTCTTCTCCACTTGAATATTTTCAACAAAAACATTTAGGTTTACTTCAGTCTCTGCTCAGTTCCAGTCCAGAAAAACACTCATCTCCAGAACTACAAACATTCACTGTTCTAACCCCTCAGAGACGGGGGCGTCGCCGTCCCCCTTGTTGAATCTGCTTCTTTATTCATTGCAGGAAAATCTCTGCAGAGGAACAAAAAGAAATGAGAGAATCTCCAGGTTTTAGTTTCAAGTAAAAAAATCCATAAAACTTCAAAGTGCTCGTTCATTCATCCATTCATTCGTTTGTTCATTCGTTCATTCAACCTTTGTGTCTGCAGGTTACTCCCATTGAGCCTCGGGGACTCATTTACAAGAGAGGCCTGGTTTAAATGTCAGCGAGGTCAAATTAACTGAAATGTTTCTGTGAAGGTCTGAGTGGTATAAACCTTCATGGAAACTTCTGCAGAGTTTTGGTTCAGCCTCGATGAACTAAATGTTTTTACCTAGTTCGTGAGGAAGAGGAAATGTCAGGCTTAAGATCAGAAACATAAAATACGTGCGCGTGAAAACAGCTGACGCTTCAGAGAAAGATGAAGTGAAACGGACTGAGAGGAGTCGAGCGTGTCGGAGGAAGTGAAGCACGAGGTCGGCGCCGGCTGATTGTTGATCCTTCACTTCCTGTTTTACCTGACATTAACCCTCCTGCTGAAGTCTGCATCTGCTTCCTGTCTTCTCTCCTATCAGGTTCATGACAGGCCTGCTCCTCCCACTAAGCCCCTCCCCCCTGACCCCGCCCTAAACCCCTCGCCGCAGGTAACTTCACCTGAACTCGCCACCGTGTGTTCACGTGTGTTTCAGGTGTCGCTGTAGCTCGTCAGCTGTTTGTCTCGTTGTTGTTGTTATTGTTGTTGTTGTTGTTGTTGTTATTGTGGTTGTTGTGATGACGATTTGTTTGTTTTTCATCAGAACTAGCGTGATTTAAAGGAATATTTCATCAGTTCTGGAGACCTTCAGTCTCTGTGAACACAACATCTTTAAAACCTAAATTAAGGTTTTTATTCTTGTTTTCATTAAAGTTAATTAAAGTTGTATTTTTAGAAACATTTGTACATTTTTAGTTAGTTTTGTCTGAAATCTCATTTTGTTCTTGGCTTCTTTTTAAACCAGAATTAGAAAAGATGAACACCAGAAAGTCCACACTTTATTTATTTTATTTATTTATTTTTTTATGTTGGCAGTTTTACGACCTCAGAAAAAACAACTAACGTTTAAACGTGGATGTTTATTTCATGTCAGGTAGAAGTGGATTAACAAACAAAACAGCAGATGAAGAATATAAATGAAATTTAAAAACATTAAATCACATCTTTAGACCAATCCTCTGATTTTTTTATTCTATTAAAGTAAACAAATAAAAATAATATCTTCGGAAACGTCCATAAATTTAAAGTGATTATTTTTATTTGTGCTTAATGTTTGTTTTTTTAATAATTTTTGTCCCTGTTTGAATATTGATTTTTTCCTCAAACCCACAGTAACACAAATAAAATGTAAATTTCCTTCAAATCCTTTATGTAATGTTGTTTCTCTAATAACAGCCAGAATATAAATTAGTTGTTTAATAAAAATAATTTAAACGAAGCAGCTCTTTAAGTTCGGACGGTCAAACTCCTGCACAAAATGGTGGAACTGTCCCTTTATCTGAAGGGTCACCAGCTGCTCACGTCTCTGACTCGCTCTTCTTCTTCTTCTAACTTTTATTTCTGCTGCTTCAGCTGGTCAAACATCGACCTGCCCCCCCCACCAAGCCTCTGCCTCCCGACCCCCCCACCCCCACCAAACAGGTACAGTCCTCAGGGTGTCTGTCTGTCCTGTCTTTGTCCTCGTGTCTTCAGGTCAGGACTTTGTCTTCATCAACAGGTGTCCTCTGTTTATAAATAGTCTAATACACCTGTAGTGTTACCTGTGCACGCACCTCATGCACGTCAGATCTGTAACTTTCTATTCATCTTTTTTTTTTAGTCCAGAGAATTAAAGTTTCTGACAAATCTTTTTTAACAAACATTTTAACCCTTCGCTGTCTGCTCTGTCTTCCTCATCTTCTTCTCTTCTTCCTCACTAACATTTCAGCTGCTGGTGACTCGACCAGCTCCGCCCAACAAGCCCCTCCCCCCTGACCCCGTCACACCTGCTCAGGTATGCTCCGTGCTGCTGGCAGAAGTTGTTGGACTGGGATGGATCTCTTTGATTTAGTTTGGTTTAATGGAGCAAAGGGCATGATGGGAAATAAAACTGAGGCGTTCAGGAGCAGAAATGAGTGTAGGACGTTTCAGTTGCTGCTTACACAGAAACTCTCGGGTCAAATAAATGATTCAATCTAAATTCAGTTTCCTTCCTGGCTGGTTTAAGATCTGCCCTAAGAAACAAACTAACAGAAAATCATCAATGTCCAATAATCAGTAATAATCAATAATTAGCTCTTCTGTTAAACAAAACAAAAACCATTTTATCTAAAATATTTTTTGTTTTTAGGTTTCTGTTCCACTGAAACCTGTGGTGCCCAAGAAGCCACGCCCCCCAGCCACGCCCCATAAACCTTACCTGCCACCTCACTCGGGCCTCCTGCCGCCCGCCGGCTTCACCTCCAGCAGCAAACCTGCCGCGCACGGAGCCGTCGCACCTGCAGCGGGTCCATACAGGTATGACCATTCACTCCAAACAGAAAGGTTTTAAAACTTCTAAACTTCTCTCTGGAACTAAACACCTGGTCCAGGTGGAACCACCTGGTCCAGGTGGAACGCCCTGGTCCAGGTGACTTTCTTGAATCCCAGTGAAGTGGATCTCCTCAACAGTTCTCCTGGGTGTTTTGGGACTTGGGCAGCTTCTCTCAGTTTCAGTTGTTCTTGAACCTTTTCAGAGAAACGTTTTAAACTCTAACTTCAGACGGAAACGCCTCCGAACTGATTAAGCACAGTTGTTGACTCAAAGTTTAAATCTGAGGTTTGGTCTGAGGCGTGATGAAAAAAGACCCACAGGACAGCTGAAGGACTGAGACCCCTGGATCAGGTTCTGATGGTTTGAAACATTTCAGCTAAAATTCCACAAATTTAAAACTAAAATGTCAAAGAGCAGAGTTCATACCTGCTAACGTGCTCGAACTCTTGCAGCTTGTTGCAAACGTTTCTACAAGCATGTTGTTGAAAAGACAGAAGGTGTCCTCCTCTGGTGGACGAGCCAGGACAGGTGTCCTCTTCTGG